GCTTGCCCCGCCACGCCCATAGGCAAGGCCCACCTGAAGCACGCCATTCTGGGGCAGGAGGAGGCACTGCGGCTGCACGCCACATGCCGTGTCCCACGTGAGGTGGACCAGCTGCAAGCTGTGCTGGCCCAGGCGCTGCGGCACTCCCTGGCCAAGTACGCGGAGCTCGACCGCGAGGATGACTTCTTCGAGGTCGCCGAGGCCCCCGACGTGCGGCGTAAGCAGCAGGGCTGTCAGGATGGCCAGTGGGTCGCTGGCCAAGTGGCTGCACTCCCACGGCACACCCCCACACACCCTTGTAGTCAGGCCCTACAGGGCTTACTGGGCCTGGGGGGTGGGGAGGACCGAGCTCCGCATGGCAGCAAGGCTCCCGTGAGACCACCCTGGGTCTGCTCTTGACTCCTGGCCTGTCGGAAGCCTGCAGGCCTCCGGACAGAGCTCTAGAAGCCGCCTCCCAGAGGGGTGGTTTTGGGCCACGTGCCCAGGGCACCCGGGACAGCGGCTCCGCCCAGGCTCAGTCAGTGCCGAGGTGGGCAGATCAGGCCCTGGGGCCCTCGAGCCTCCACTCACCTCTGCACCTCCCCCTCCCCTGCCCTTCCAGCCAAGACCCACCAGAAGCCAGAGGCCAGGACCCCTGGCCTGTTGCGGATGGAAGTGGCCGACATCTTCCACCGGCTGGGGGGCTCGCCTGCCCCTGCCACCGCAGCCCCTGGGCTCGCCTGCCCCTGCCCCTGCCACTGCAGCCCGGCTCACTGTGCTCCACCTTGAGTGAGGCCCTGGACCCCCTTGAGGATGCACCACCCTGATTCCTGGGCTGTGCAGGTTGGGGTGACGGCTCCAGACTGAACCAGCCGACCTCTGACCTATGACCCCCAGGGGCCCCTGTCTGTGTTCTCAACCAAGAACCAGTGGCGTCTGGTGGGGCCCGTCCACGTGACCCGAGGAGAGGGCGGCTTTGGCTTCACCCTTCGGGGAGACTCACCCGTCCTCATTGCTGCGGTCATTCCTGGAGGCCGGGCTGCGGTAAGGGCCCCGGCCCCGCTTGGGCAGGAGCCAAGAGCTGGCTGAGGCCTACGACCACTCACCGCCCGCCCCCGCAGGTGGCCGGCCTGAAGGAGGGCGACTACATCGTGTCGGTGAACGGGCAGCCGTGCAAGTGGTGGAAGCACGCGGACGTGGTGGCGCAGCTGAAGGCCGTGGGCGAGGCGGGCGTGAGCCTGCAGGTGGTGTCGCTGCTGCCCGGCCCCGAGCTGCCCAGCACAGTGAGATCAGGCCCTGCGGGTCCCCAGCGCCCCATCCCACCACCCTGGGCCTCTCCTGGTGCTTCGGGGCACTGGGGAGTGGGGCTGCAGGCAGGTGGCCTCAGGGTGGCCCGGGTAGTGGCCACCTGAGCTGTACCTCCACCCGATGGTCACTGCACTGCCCCCGACAAGGTGCCTCCCCACCTTCTGTCCCCAGACTGAGGCTTCTGGGTCAGGGCCTGTACCCCAAGGCCTCGTCACCCAGCCCGGGGTTCGCTAGGTGATGAGTATGGCCCACGTTCCCCATCACACGTCCATAGCCCCACAAGCCCTGAAGTGCGCTCGCTCCCCAATGGCCCCGGGGGGCGGGGGGAGGCTAGCAGGGCTGACCACAGCCCATCTCTGCTGGCTGCAGGGGGACCGCCGGCCAGCCCTGCTGGGCCCAGGGGGCCTTCTGAGGAACCCCAGGGAATGTGCCTGTGAGACACCGGCCCCTGCCCGGTCCGGCCCCCGGCACCTCCTCGGCTGGAACCTCAAGACCAAGCGGGGCGCAGCCAGGCCCTGAGCACCCAGCCTCGGCACAGCTGCCCCGTCCACCCCCACGACCAGCTGTGGGCCTCACGTCCCAGATCTGGGCAGCTCAGTGGCTTTTGCTGGCCCCTTCCTGCCGCCCGCCCCACAGTCCAGTGGGACAAGGCTCTGCTCTCCGTCCAGCTTCCCGGCCCCCTTCCCCACTGCGGCCGGGCTGCCCAGGTCCCAGGCCCCTCTGGCAGGTCCCAGCCGGCTTCCCCAGACTCTCCTGCTGCCCGCTCTGCTCAGACCGGGACCCTCCTCTGCCCTCACCATCCCTGCTCAGGCAGGCTGCCCCTCTGCCCCGACAGTGCCACACTGGCACCCAGGAGTGGGCTATGTCCAGGCTGCAGATGGAGACACACGTGGGTAGCTCTGTCCCTGAGTCCCCTGGGAGGGGTGGGCTCAGGACTTGGGCTCCCAAGGGAGGGAGGGAGAAGGGCGGCAGGGCCCAGGTCAGAGCAGTGCCAGGAGGAGCTAAGGTGAGGGCTTCTTGATGAGGCTCCCAGCGACCACTAGGGGGCAGCTGCTGTCTACTCAAGTGGCCACTGGAGGCGGGTTTCCAGGCAGGAGCAGGGCTGGGGAGGGGCCGCAGCCTCCCTTGCAATCTGATAGCCCCAGCCATTCACCCCGTCGGTTCCGGGTCCCTAGGTGGGAGTGGCCGCTCCGTGCTCAGGTGCTGCCCGGCTTCCTCCACTGCACAGGAGCATGGTAGTCTTCGTGGGGTGCGGGTGTGGGGCACCGGGGAGGTCCGGGTTCAGTGATGCAGCCCTCTGAAGTACAAGGGAAGGGCCAGGCCCGCCTGAGCCTGGGGTAGGGATCCTGGTGTGTCCCCAACCCGCCCTGCCCTCCTGGGAGAGCCCCTGTCGCGGCAGGACGGCGAGGAGGTTGGCAGGTCACAGCATTTAGCAATTTGATGAATAAAGCCGCACACCAAGGAGCTGCGCGGTGACCTGGTGATCCTCATTGTCATCGGGCAGCAGGGTGGGTAGGCTCTGTCCCAGCGGCGGCCCTGTGCACACACACGGAGAGCCTGGCCGTGCCATGCACGCCCCAGACCATCACGTCCCCTGCACAACTGTCTCTACCCCTGCAGGCCCAGTCGTGGCCCAGTCCTTTGCCCAGGGGCAGGCTCTCTGCCTCCACTGCCATCCCATGAGGGTGTCTGCGCTGTGGTGGGGACTAGCCGCCTGCTGTGTGCAGGGGTTCCGAGTGGGCTGGTGCCGAGGGAGCTCCTGGGCAAGAGTTCTGGACCAGGCGGCCCCACCTGGCACCTTCCACTGGAGGCTGCTCTGTGAACTGCAGCGAAAGCCTTTCTCGATGAGAGCGATGCCGTGACAGGGCCCAGCCTGGGTCCCCGGGGAAATGCGAGGGAGGGCCCCCGCGCTGTCCTCACCCACACCGTGCACCGGGCCTAGGTGCAGGGGCGGGCCACCCTTCTGTCCCAGGTCTCCTGTGTCCACTGGACAGCTGAATCGGCAGTGCACGGAGTCTCCGCCAGCTCCAGAGGGGCCCTGGTCCCAGCCCCTGGCTCTGGGCCCAGCAGACCTCTTTCCCCAGTGGCCAGTCACAGCCAGCATCCCGCCAGGAGGTGCTGGGACCAGAGCGCCAGCGAGAGGGTACCGCCACGCCCGGGAGTGTGGTGGGAGGCCCTGTGGCTGTGCCATCCAGGCTGGGTGTGCCCACCTGCCTGGCCTGCATTGCTCAGCTGTGAGCCTGGAGCCCGTGGCACCGCCCATGCAGGCTAGGCCGCTCCAGCCCATGTACTGTGGCCGAGCTGTTCCCTGGCACCTTCTCAGGCTCAGGACCGCCACTGCCCCTGCCTCAACAGGCCTTGCCCGGCCATACCCCTGTCACGGCTGCAGCCCACCTGGCCCTGCTACATCACTCGCTGTGCCTCAGTTGGGTCCGTGGCCACAGGCAGGGACAGTGCCATCTTGTCCAGGAGAGATCTGAGGAAGGCTCGTGACGAGGTGTGCATGCCACACGTGTGTGCCACCTGCTCCGGGAGTGAGGAGCTGGGGAGGCGAACAGCAGGAGATGGGGTTGCTGCTGGGGTGCGTGTGCAGAGCTGGACGCCGGCCACGGCCCACACGACCCTTGACTTTCAGAGCTGGGCAGAAGCCACGGGGGGGGCGGTGCAGGTCCAAGTGTCAGGTTGGGTCAGCAGCCACAGGGACAGACGGGAAGAGGGAGTCGGTGGAGGGGAGCAGGGTGGCCAGGGGCTGGGGCCAAGGACAGCCAGCTACAGGTGACAGGCGGGCGGGGTGGGAGGACCCCTACCCAATTGACTCCTCCCCACCATCCCAGCACCCACAGGCGCCTCAGGGGCGGGAATCCCCACCGGACAGGCATGCCCCCCCCCC